CGCGGCGGCAACGATGGTGGGCGTCCGATACCTCCTCGGTCGGCGAAGGAAATTGCCGCGACCCAATACTAATGGATAATGGAATTATTGGTTACGGTCGGAACTCGCCCTGGGGATGATCGTAATTCAATTGCTCCGATGTGTCCTCTGGACGTTTTGACAGGACGGATGTCCTAACAAGGATACCGCCTCGGGATATCTTCGCCCGTTTCTCTGTGTGCAAACGATGTGCACTCGCGTGAATCTGACGAAAATTTCGTGGAAAAACGTCGAATTGTAGCGAACGTCGTTCCCATCGATGGTCAAACATAATATGCAAGGAATTAAAGTCTTGTGAAATTAGAGGCAATTAGATGTTAGGCTGACGATTTGACGTTACGACAAATGACTTACGTTTATGGCTTTTACAGCGAGAACAAATTAAGAAACAAATTTAGATTCAACTTCTGAATTCTAAATCAAAAATAAGTAACTTTTTTTTTCATAACTGTGTTTTTAAAAATTAATATATAATAATATACAGCATACTTGTAACATTTATAAGATCATAAATTAAATTCATCTCGAAAGGATTACATCAATCGGCATTGTAAATCATAAAATCCAAATTAGATTGATTTTCAATCAAGAATTGGGATTTGTCTGCGTTGGATGTTAAAGAAAAACGATTGATAGCATCTTACATGACAACTATCGCGAAGAATCGATTCTCCGACCGATCTGGCGTATCTTGCTAACATAAGAAGGAAAATTAATGTGAAAAACTAATAACCTCGGAACATTTCCTGCAGAGATTCCCGCGTCCTTCCATTCGTGGATGGAAATTACAAGGACGCCCACAATAGGGGCCACTGGGCTTGGTGATCGCAACATTACGGATGTATAGGCCAATTTGTAAGCAATCCAACTTAGATTCGCCGGGCAATATTATATTTTTACGTTATCTTCCTTCCTGGCAATTCACATCCTCTCTCTCTCCCCTCTTTCCCGTATACGTGATTCGTTCAGATGCAACCGCGTTTATTTTTATGCGGCAAGTAATTGTCCTCATCAAAATCAGAAATGTGTTGTATGCAATCTGATATTTTCGTATATACTGATAATGATAATAGAATTGTTTCTTATTTTCCACATGAAATGTTTTATTGTATTAATGAGTATTTTGTTGTTTCGTTGTAAAATAATTATTTGAAAATATATTTTTCGAAATGTTTCTAAATTGAACTAAAAATTATCTAGGATCTTCTTTATCAAGTTTTCTTCTTAGTATCAAGTTCTCCTTGGTTGTTTATTTTTTATATCTAATGAAAAATTTCAACGCGAAAAAGTTACAATGTTTTTATAAGCTTGTTCACTATTAATATATGTATTCTTATTAATATATCTACCAGTAGCAGTTTTCAAAATATACATTATTTTAGAACAATTTTTAGAGAAAGAGAAAATAACAGTTTACACTGAAAAAAAAAAACTAAATTTTAGTAAATATTTGAATTGTTTTAAGTAAATATTTACTAAATATAAACATATTTATTTGACAGAAAAACCTTTAATTTAATTTAACTACTTTTTATTGAGTAAATATTCACTTATTGTAAGTAAATGTTTACTATTTGAAGAAATATGTATCAAGCGTTCCGTAAATTTGTTTTCATGCAGATTCCAATAAAAATGCAATATAACGAAACGCATTGCGGATCATACGTCGCGTAAAAAAACGACATTAAACGGTGGCAGAAGACGTACGCGGATAAATAGGCGGGTGATTTATGAAGTGGCGAAGAGACACGTGTCTGCTCCGTTCTCTTCCTCCTTCGCTCACCTTAAGCTCGTGAGGCTGCCGGTTCTCGCGCAGGGGTTGCGGAGGGTTCTCTACGCTGCCGACAGTTTTGGTCCAACATCTGCCCCCGAAAAAACAAAAGCCCATTGTCGCTAACGACCGGTCGCGCGTCTCTTGTTTCTAACCGAGCGCTTTTGAATCGTAGGCGAATAACGGATCCCGTCCAGAGCCCGTCCATTCAGGCGACTCACCGTTCCTTCCATTTCGCTTTCGCTAAACCTTTCCTCGGTTGTCGTATCCAACTCGACCGATTTCCTTTTTTTCACTGGCAACAGGACCACAAGCCAGACGTCGCCTCGTCTTACCTCCGGGGAGGTTTTTATCGAAAATTTTATCGGATTTTTACCATCGTTATTTCGCTCCCTTCTTTCTTTCGCGTTCGATTGTCAACGACGATCTCGGACGAACGCGATTAAAATCTCGCGTTCCTACGAAGAATGCGAGACGTCGCCGAGGCGCAATTGTCTCGTTCGAACACGAGTCTCGAGACACCGAGACTTTGCGAGACTTATCTCGCTTCCTGCTACCGTCATTCTTCCGGTGAAAAACGAGAAGCTGCAGATAGCAGCCGCGAAAAAAAGTTTCACTGCTCGTACGAAGCGATTCTGAATGGTAAAGGACCAAAAAATTGATTCTTATCGGAATCTCTCGATAGTTTAGACCTACTAAAAATATTTTTACAGCCTCGTTCTTGGTTTGTTGTAAAGAAAGTACATCGAAGCGCTATATCGATGAATTGTTATGGAATATTGCCGAGATATCGTTTGAGCTGTGGTAATTTTACAATGCCATTAGGAAGTTATCTGTTTTTGAAAATGCTGAGAGAATTTATAAATATATAGTAGATCGGGTAATCTTTGTGTTCAATGAATTCTCTATATTTGGCAATGCCATGCAAAACAGGATGCCAAAAATCTCTTAGAGACTTACACTCACATTATCAGATATAATTTAAAAAAAACAATTGTGAAAGTCGATTACAATTATTTTACATATCTTTAATTATTCTCTACTTAGTGAAATAATTGTAATCAACTAAAAACTAAACTATCAACTATAACTCAAGTTCGATCGGGATGTAATTCACATCCTAAAGGGTTGATGCTCGAGTTTGCGCCCTGGCCATTGGTCAAGCGAGCTCCGCCCAGAAAGAATCGAACGCCGTCGCGCACCGACGAAAAGTGAGAAACGAAGAAGGAAGACAGCAGTTAGGAGTAAACAAACAGGGGTGTAAAGGCTGCAAAAAATAAAGAAGCGAACGAAAGAGAAGAGCGAAGATCCCTCGAGAAGCGCCACGACGAAAGTGAGACAAAGATGCGTAACAAAAACGGAGACAAAGGGAGAAACGAAAGGCTAGACAGGAACGAAGGGAGAGGAAGAGGGGGAGAGGCAGAGAAAACGACTGCCAAGACGGTGGAGGGTTTTTCTTGTTTTGTCGCGAGCTTGGTTGTCCCCATTCGGATAGATATGGACACTCAACTCGACGAGGGAAAGATCGATGTATGAAACTCCTGCCAATCTCTATGTTAATGCGCGAAACGTATGAGAGAAAGGACATAAGACGTCGCGAGGACGTTTTGGTGTAGTTTCTCTTGAAGGACACTCAAAAATGAATTGTTACGTCTGCGGCTGACCTCGGGCCCTTTGCCCCTTGGACGACAGTGAATTATAACGGTTACGTAAGAGGAAATTAGTCCTGTTTGTTACGAGGAAAGTTCGCTCGTTCAGATTAGGTGAATACCGTCTGCGGTCTATTTATCGTTAAAAGGAAATGGCTAAGATTGAATCATGAAAATAAAAAAAAAAACTTTAATTTCGGAAACGAAATTTTACGAGAGAGAAAAGAATCCCTTTATTTTCTTATGCATATGCATGTATACGTGGAAAGAATGATTTTGTTCAAGTATCTATAAAAATTTAGCTAGCTGCTAAATAAAATTTGAAAATAATTTTGTTGGACCATCAAAGTAATTATGCAGAACGCTTAAGCATTTATGATAATGCTGCAAACAATTTTAATATTCTAGCAAATAATTTGAGTATCCTACATAATTATGATGGTACAAAAAAATTTTTTTCAGATCTCGCGATCTAATTAAATTTTTATATACTTGAGTAAAAAAATTCTTCTCTATTCTTTCCCATTCTTTTTCTGTGTATTGATATTTTCTCTATTTTCTATGAAAAGCAAGACGTATAGAAAACATTTTCAAACTCGTTATTCAATTTCATTAAAATACACATGATGTTTAGTTTTGATTTCCTTAATTCAATTAATCGCTATCATACACACATACCTATACAAATACAAGTTTTACGGCGTAAACGAAATGCTCATCGAATCGTTCGTTTTGATATCTCATCACAGGATTATGGCTGCAGTCAGTTAATAGGTATCGTAAATCGTAATGATTAATGCCTAGCTGTGAATAATGCGCAAGACATATGTCTACACTTGGTTATATAATGGCATCTATAACATGTACATATCGATAGTAATAAGCCGATACTGCTTTCACTATTCGTAGTCGGAGTCGAGAAATAATAATTAGATTTCTTTTTTTTGCAATACGATTGCATTAATGTGTTGTTTATTATACAATTGAATATTATGTACCAAATTTTACCATTTATGATTTATCATTTGAATAACGTAATTTTATATTACTAATATAGAGAAAATTATTTCTCAAATAAAAACAACAGTGATAGAAATATTATTATATTTTTTTCTAAAGTATAAACAGAAAGCATGAATATCTAAAGTCCTATTTTTAAAAATTAATAACGACAATAAATCTCGATAATCGCTTAATGTTTTTATAATATCGCTATCAATTAATAATTCAAGAACATTAATTAATGTTCACATTACTATCACAAAAAAATAATAATCAAATATTATATATAAAAATTATATAATTAAATAAGAAGTAAGTGTAGCAAACTCGAAACAATGTACGTGTATATTTCTCTTTCTCCCTAAAACTTTTAGAGTAAATCTCACTCTAAAGAATGAATCTTATTTTTTTTCAAAATTGGTTCAATTTTCATTCTTTAAAGTAAGATTCTAAAGAATTTAAAGAATTATCATCATACTAACACGCCAACTATTTAATAAAAATTCCATCTAAACGAGATGTATCTCTCTCTGTTACAGCGGAAACCTCGCAAAGTACTACGTCCCCAGACACCGTCCAATGCGGGGGCTGCAGGGCGTCCTACCCCCTTGGAGAGATTGTCCGGTTCATCGAGCACAAGGTCAATCATTGTCGGAGCACCCTCCAGGGCTGCCACAGTCCACCGGCGACGGCCGCGCCGGAGGACTCCGACCCAGAGGACGCTCTCACCCTGAAGACCACCGATCCGGACTCAAAGTTGAACTCGGTACCCAGCATCTCTGCGCCCATCAACAAGAGAAGCGGACGACTGGAGAGTCCGCCAACGCCTCAGGGTCCGGGACCGGATACCGGAAGTCCGATCGACCTGAAGGCAAGCGCCAGCTCGACGCCAAAAAGACGAACGGAAGCACCGGATGAGGACAAAGAGGATCTTCCGAAGAAGCAGAAAACCGAATCTGTGGATGCTGATACGAACACAGTCAATTCTGGTAAATTTCTGCGCTTCTCTTTCTCTAGATTATTTTATCACGTATTTCATTTCAAGTAACAAATAAATGTTGAAGCGTTTTATTAGAACCAATCAATAAATTTGTATTGTGTTGTGAAATGAAATATGTAACGTGAGATTCAATCATAAAATAATAATTCTTATGAAATTATTCAAAGTTCCGATTCCCAATTTCGCGTTCGGCTTTTGTATCATAGATTCTGAATTTAGCAACGGTCTGAACGAGAAAATATGTCAGGGGTTTCCTATATCGTAGTAGGTGTGCATCGAGGAACCTATCGCGCGAGGAAACTATATTTCGGAATCTTTCTGGTTTGGCGAATTGTTGGTTTGCTCGAAAAGGGTGGTAGAGGGTGTTTTTAAAGTACAGTTATAGGGGGCTGCCATGTGATGTCGAACCTGGCCGAATGGACACGAACAATGGATCAGTGAATTCGATTTTTGAATTTAAACCGCCCGCTCTGGGATTGGGGTGAACCTGCCCCTCATGCCTCCTTTCCCGCCGCTCCTCTGACCCCCTTTTGTCGGGCAGTACATTGTCGTATGTCGAAGGGTTTAACGCGCGAACGTTCTTATTCGGCAACGTGACATCCTGGATACGAAAGTACTACATTAGCTTCTTCATGTTTTTTTTTATGTAATATCGAAACACAAAATTGAAAAATTGTTTTAATGTTTTAAATTATAAATTTGAATTATATATGTTTGCACAATGATTGTATTACTATAAAAAAAAAAGAAAGAAAAATTTCGAAAGAGAATTATATTTTATTCAAATTAAAATTATTATGTTATTTAAAATAAATCTAAAAATTGTATATAATTTTTAAAATTAATATATTGTTATAATTCCATCTTCTTTTTTTTTATAAATATATCAGATATAAATATTTTTATCTTTTAACGAAAAAATACATTATTAATATATTAATTTTGCAATAAGGATTTATAATAATAAATAAAATTGTCTTTATTTCATGTTATGATTATATTATTATATTATTACTATTATATTATTTATTATATTCATATCAAGAAATATATATATTTATTATTATAAGTTTCGTGCACTTAAAAGTATTTTGCCTTTAAATAATAAAATCAAACTTTTTATTTCAATTTAAAGAATCTACGTGGCCTCATATTTACGCCTACATTCTCGATGAATCAAATATTCCTTCTTTGAAATTCTTATGCAATGTTTAAGTGTGCAAATTAATGAGTTTATAACGTAAAATGGAATTAGTTTTCGTCCTCCGATGACAGCCAGAAACTAGTTTTTTATTAGTTTTTCGCAGTTAAATTATTTTTATGACAGTATACGAGAAAAAAGTTTCGTTGCGAATATCTCAAAAATGTCAACAGTTAGAAAATATCAGCAAAACAAATCCATTTTTTTAAATAAATAAAAATCATATCTTTATAAAATTATGAATTTATAATCGTACATCCAATATCTATAATTCAATACCTTATCATGAATTGTTATATCCGCACATGTGAATTTATCTCTCGAATTACACAAAATTGATCTCATAAATGTTTATTTAAATAGTTCAAGTAATTCTGCTTATATATTTTGCAACGAGGAACCTGAATCTACTAAAAAGAGACGGAAAAATAGATATAAATTTGTATCGCTTCGAGAAACGAGGGCGACTGAAATTCGCGGACGAATTGTATCTCCCGAGGATCAGCACGTCGTACGGCGGTCGTACACACCGGTGTCTCTTTAAAGTTTCATCACGCTCTGTGACACTCGCCCCAAACCCCCTTTTGCCAGCTACACGTTCCAGCAGCGAGATAGAGAGTTAACCCTTTCCAAACTGGTCCACGATCATAAGAATACTCATCGCTCGTGCTCATCCCGCCGCTCGTCCGCCGGTTAAGCCCCTTTTGTCGCCTTTTTTGTCGGATTTTTTGCTACCGGACAACCACGTCGGAAAGCCCAATTAGAATCGTCCTATTGTTCGGCCACGTGGTCCGCACGAGCCGTCCACGCGAAAGCGTGCCCATATGGGCGAACGTGCGCTGTGCCGGTGTATGTTAGACGATTAAGTCTCGAGTATTACGTACGAACAGGTAAAGCAATGCAGATCGGTATCAGATACATGCACGTGGGGTGACAATGACAGGATATGTCAGGATCCTCAATACTCGAGCCAGTATAATCCCCTTCCAATAATTCTGATATTTTTATGTTTATTTTTTTCGACTATGAGACGTACAAAAGATGACGGTAATATGATTCGATATTTTTTTTCTAAAGTAGAAAATACCTTCCAGAAATATATTTTTCTTCATTTTCATGTAATTGAGTTAAAAGAAGATGTACATTTTAAAACATTCGTGATTTCGGGAAAAATTCAGTTATGTGCGAAAATAGAGAACAAGCATAGCGAGTATGGCGCAAGTGAATGGCGTTAGAGAATCTCACCCACGGACGATATACGTCGCGTCGGAAGAAAAGTTGAAGGGTATAGGAGGAAGATGGAAAAAGAAGACGAAAAAGGAGCGATAATCCGTCGAAATTGACACCAACCAGCGCTCCCGGTGAGATGCAGATTTGATCTATCTGTCACGTTTGTCTGAGAATATTAATTCTCGTCCGTGGGTGAGGTTTTTCTCTGGCAGTTTTATGGCTCCTTTCCGACCCTCCCGCGTTTCTCCAGCCATCCTTTCCTTCCTAGCAGAGTCGACGACTCTCCGGACCGCCCGAGGTGAGCGGAGAATTGCTTGCGAATTGGCTGTCGCTCGGGGTTTCGGGATCCTGCAACTTTCTCGTCTTTCATCCTTCCGTTTCCTCCGTTCTCGCGGAAGGAAGTCGACAAGAACGGTGTGCGAGCGATATGTCTAAAAACTGGCGTCAGAAACTTTTTCGGCTATGTATCACCGCTACGAATCACCGAAATCAGCCTGCTTGTATTTTATTTTATGCCTTTTCGCTATTTCATTTTTTCGTTTTATTTGGATAATTTAAATATTTTATATATAATGTAAAATTTAATCATACGTATTTTATGAATAATATTTTTCATTGACGAGATGATAAAAAGAACGACATATGATTGCGCGCTAATATGAAAATCAACGTGTATCATCAATATGACAGGTCCTTTGAGAAGTTTACTTCCGTTTCGACTACCCCAGTTCATACTTTACCTTCTTTCTTCTCTACCAATAGCTGCTTTTCTCGCTTCCTTTGCTCTTACCTCGCGCGCCTCGTGTAAAAGAAAGCTCGCGAGAGTGAGAGAGAGAGAGAGAGAAAGAGGAAGAACGTCATCAAAGCTTACAAAGCTCAAAAGTTCAATATACACGACTTCAGCATGCTACGACGCGTTTAAATTACCAGGTCGAGTGGCTTTTTGATTAATTTTTTTTTCCTTACATCCTTGTGCCGTAAAACGAGTCCGTCATCCGCGTTTTTCTCTTTCTCTCGGTGGTATACTGTACTACAGAAAAATCGTATCTGCAAAGGTAGATCTCTCAGATCTCCCGATGAAAGATAGATAATCCTAGATTTCGCTCCAACGTTCTCAAGTTTGTATTACTCTCAATTTTTTTTTAGATTAAACATGCTGTATAAATATAAACACATTTGATTTTATTTATGATACGCATAAAAATTCAATTTTACATATTCTCTGTTATTGTTGTCCCGTTTTAGAAACATATTCTTCTCGTGTTAAGTCATGAAAAACTCGAATAATAAATTCTTTTAATAAATTGAGACTCGGCCCTCTTCTGAAAGGGTTAATAGCGAGTGGTCCATTCGCAAGGTTTGCGGTTTGGACGGACAAACTGAGTAACGGAGGACATAAAGGCTTGTGAAGCGCAGTCTGACCAATCCTATCGCGAAATGGTAGTGACCACAAGGAGTATGTTACGCGACCATTCGAATATTCGTTTAGAGGCTGGAATCGTACCGGTCGACATATTCACGATTTTAACAGCTTTGGTTCTTTGTCGCGCGACACTCTGCGGTGGGTTGAACAGGTTGTAAATAAAAATTCACTGGAAAAAATCTGCAAGTTACGGTTACATGATATTGAACGGATATATGTTATTGACAATAATATGATCTTTTATATTTTAGTAATGCAATATGTATTGATTGATAATTGATTAAATTTTATTGGAATTGTTGAATTTTATTCTATATACATCTAAATTATGAAAAAAATTAGATAATTTTTAATTATCCGTATTTTTAAAATAACTAAAATTGCCTGAATTTCTTTGAAGTGTATTTGACATTTAATGTAACAAAGGTACACACCATATATCCTGCTGTTTTTTTTTATATTATTTAATTCCTTTGTTTACTATGAATTCTTTTTGGTATATATTGAACACTTCTCGTTACTGCGATATAATATTTATCTCAGCTGGTTATTTAATTAATGGGTTCAGTAAAATGATTAAAATCACCCGCAAACTATCCACGTGGACATGATCCGTTGTGTGTTGTCCCTTTTAAGTGCAGCCCTTGTATCGACGACAAAGTGCATACGTCGCATACGTTAGCTAATCGATATTTTAATATTGTCACACGCCATTCCGGATTAAAGGCCTTTATGTGTGTTTGTTGTGTGCATGTATGTGTATATCATGACGTCATTGAGCGGCAGATGTCCTGTCCAAAAAGATTTCCGAGAGTGCGACACAATGTCCTTTACACGATTAAAATTCGCTCGTATGCATAAAACCGGGCATAACACTTACGGTACGATCGCAAACAATCCCTTTCAACTTGTGTACAAAATGTTCGAGCATTAATATGGCCAAAAAGATATAATCTCATAATTTCAGAGTCGTTCAAAATTCATAATAGTCGTTTGATTCAATTTAAAGTGTTTCGTTTACTAAAATTTAAATATATATATATATATTTTTTTTTAAATAAGTAAATATATGTATTTTATTATTTAACAAAATTTGCTTATATTTCTATTTACATATCGAGCATTTTAATGAACAGTTATTTTATCATAACTAATTGATTATTGCATGAAAATTACTCAGCCTTTTATTTATTTTAAATTTTGCAAAAAATAATTTACATTTGTATTTCAAGGAGGCAAACTTAAAAAACTTACAGAAACGTAATATATTTTAAGAAAAATTGGTAGAAGAGAGTTCATGTTAAGTCTTCCGTAAAAGGGTTGAAAGGAAATATTCATAGGATGACCGGGACTCGAATCGTTGTTAAACAATGGCGTTCCGAACGATTTGCCCGTAAACGTCGCATAGGCCAATTTGACGGGCAATTTCTGGAGAAAATCGGTCGGTCACTATCATTGGAGGATACCATCTCATGTACAGACATATTGTTCATTTGATTCCGGTGTCCCTTCTGAGCACGAATTCTATTTCGATCCACAGAGAAAAAGATTTCTTTGAATTTAATAAATTTTATTGTATTCAAATAAATTTATTATTTGGAATATGATCCAAACAAATCAATGTTTGAATCAATAAGTATGATTGTTAAAATTTAAAATAATGTATATCTTCGTCTTAAATACATTATTTATTTGAACAGACAATGTCTATCTTCGGCATTCGCGTGATCAACTGTATGGTACAAACACAATTGATATAGCACATAGCATTGCTCGTTTAATCTTGTTGTTAGACATATAAACCGTTGTTTCCATAATTCCGGTCGAAAAATGTAATGATTGTTCTAAAAAAAGTAATTATTTGCATGGAACAATCTCTATCAATATAATTTATCATTTTCAAATAAATAATTTGTTTCATTATAACTAAATAATATATTATTTGATTGAAAGATATTACTTTAAATAATGTTATTTCAACGATAGAGGTTTCTCGAATGAAATAACATAATTTTTATTCAAATAAATAATGTTTCGTACAAGCATGTTGTTTCAATGAAACAAATTTTAGTCAAATAAATAGGAATATTAAATCCAACCTTTTCCCTGTGCCTTTAAACTTCTCTACACGAGTATACGTCTTGAAAAATATTGAAGTTATATGTAAATTGTATTTTAATACGCAGATATTCTCTCTCTCTCTCTCTCTCTCTCTCTCTCTCTGTCTCTCTCTGTCTCTCTCCCTCTCGTCGATCAATAATTTTATTCTACTATTTACTTTTATACGTGTTCTTTAAAGGGCAACCCCTATAATAATATTAAATTGAAGAGGATTGGTAATTATTGTAACTTTTACTTTCTAAGTAATACAAGATAATTACATCTACCTTTATTTTTCACACGAGTAAAGTTTGTTTAAAAAAAAATGTGTGACTACTCACTGATCTATTATATGATAGTACGTCAAGACGATTGTGCAACATATATCTGTTAATCTATTATAATTCTGTACTTATACCGATAAAAAAATCTCCGCGAGCGATAAAGCACACCCGAATTACAACCAGCTAGCCAGCCATTTCCTATAGATATGGTCATGAAATCTGGAGAAATAATCCTAACAGATGGCTACCCGCGAGGTTTGCATATGAAAAGCGCTGGGTCGTGAATCAATACACCTTTATTATGCTCAAGCACTTGCTTATCTCTCTTCCCGTCGGCATCTTCCTTCCCCGGGGAAGTCGGCAATATTTTCGACTTCTAGGGAAAAAAAAAAGAACCGCCTGGCCGTTCAGGAAAAGGAGGGAAAGTAGCGTGGTGAATGCTCGAAGCGTGAAACAATACACCGAATTTTCGCGCTTCACCACTCGGGTCTGTTTCAGGATGACTCGACTGTCCTGTCCTCTCTCTCTTTTATGATTTTCTTCCTCTCTTTGCCTCACATATGTTTTAATTTCTGTCCGGAGCCGAAACTTTGAGCCAATTTGTATTTCATGGTTTTTTTCTGTCGAAGAATCAAGCTGAAGATGACTCGAGAAAATTTTAAAATTTGAAAAGTTTTACTCATTTCGAACTACAAGTCTTTTCCTTGACATGTATATGCAATTTCTGTTATTTTTTCATGTTCCCATTTATTTAAACCGAGAATTATATAGCTAATAATGTAAACAAAGTTTGGAAAAGAAAAGGTTATTTAAAAAATGTCACGATTTTTCATAAAATTTTGTCTAGATTCTTGTAAATTTAATTTTTTCAGAATTTTATTTTTATTAATTTATCAAAATATTTAATATATTCAATATTACCAACTTACAAATATTACCTATCTAAAAAATATATAAATAAATAACATCATATGTAAGCATAACAAACGTTTTTCAAGAAAAAATTGAATTGAGAGTTGGAATCTCAATTAAAAAGTAACAGTCTTTTTTGTGAAACTTCTACAAAAGTACAGTTTAACTGTACAATTTTTCTTTTAGAACAGAAAGTTGAAGTATTAAAGTTGAAGTTGCCAGAAATATACGATTATACAATTAAAACATTCATATTTTTTATATAAGCTTTTCTTTTCGAACAAAGTTCTTAGTAATTCAGGAAATCATCAAGGATATCTTGCCTATTCATTTGCGATCTTTGTGCCTTGTTCCTCTGCGACTTTCTCCACGTCTTTCTGTCAATCGAAAAATCACGCGCGTCAATGAGATGAGATTGCAACGAGCATCTCTCAGTCTATGCTTGCTACGACGCGTAAACGCTGCAAGCGTAATCCTGGTGAAAGGTCAGCAAGGCGAGGAAGAAAAGTCTCTCTCGCCCACTGTCAGGCTCGTTATTCTATTTAGCACCTTGTTATATACAACGAAATGTGTTCTATTGTGTATTGTCGCGCGATAAAGTATCATTTACCCGTTGACGGCGCGCGCGACGAATTATTCCTAATTTTATTTAAGATTCATTGTCTTCGCATCCTGCTCATCGGACTCTCAGAAGACATGCCATTTCTACGAACTGTTCTGAGTAATTTCATGTTAATGTACAATTATAATCGTACGAAAAAGTGTAGAAATAAAATTCCGAAATCACCGAAGATATATTTACATCATTCGTGTAATATCAGTTAGATTATTATATATTTGAACTAAATTAGTGGATATTATTATTTATTAGTAAAAAGAACAACTTTTTGTCACAATGATTACCGAAATAATGTTTCTAATTATAATATACAAAAAATATGCCTCAGTCTGGCGACCTTTCGGCTTTAAAACGATCTTGAAGCTTTATTTCTAACAAAGATCTTTCCGTATCTCGAACGGCCATTTAATTAGGACCACTTTATTTTGCTCCAACCTTTTGTCTCCGGCTGACTTTCCCTCCCGTCCAAGTACTACGAGACAGTGAGGTACAATGGGGAGGAGAGGACGAGTCCCGAACTTTTTAATCTCTTACAAGAGGAAGTATACCCCTGCCCACTACAACGCGCTCGTATTTATCTCTCGTCTAAGAAGTTTCTTCTTGAATAATGTCGCGTGCGTATTTATTTGTCTGTGCGAGACGCTAACATTCTCAAATTCGACAAGTCTTTGATTTTATTAAATTAATGGAGAAAGAAATTCGTGGTAGTGCGAGAAAAAGTTTCGTAGCCAAAATGTTCCTTTAATATTGAGATGAAGAACTATTTTATTCTGTAAAAAAATTCTACTTGCATTAAACAATTGTTTCTATTCGGAGATGTTCACGTATTGAAAAAATATTTTATCTAAAACAAAATTTTGGAAAAAGGCAACATTAAATTAAAAAATAATGCATTGTACGGGCGTGAAAATACTTTTGTAAAAATGATTAATTGATATTTTAAGCAATTTCGTACTGTTTCTTAAAGCTGTTGTAAATTTAAATCTTCCTCCTCAATCCCCGACGTCCGGCATTATGATTCGAGAGAATATGCTGCCTGGGTAATGTTCCACGGTGCTTTTACTCGCAAAGTGAGGGTCGCCCTTAAGCACATGGTGCGTGCATTCTCGGCCTTTCTCTCCCTTTTTCAACAATCCTCTCTCATTCCCGCCGCCAAGGCGACGTCGAATTAATAAAATCCCACAGATTCGCGCGACGGGCATCTACTGTGCTAGGCGGGGTGTGAAAAATGGCTGAAAATCTGATATTCCGGATTAAAAACATTGAAATTCAAAACCCGTCCCTCCCGCATCATAAGCTTCCGCGCGCGCCATAAGAAAGGAGGGTCGAGAAGTCGTTAAGGGTCAGTTTCAGCCGCATGCCGTGGTAACCGACCCCCGTTGGCCCACAACGATCCTCTCTCTCCATGCTCTCTCCGAGAACCACCGTTCTACGAGGATATTATTTTTAAGCCCCCGCAACTCGCCAGCCCGAACCGCAATTTGACACAGACGCGCCGTTTGAATTCTGAATTCAATTCGGCCGGGTCCGATCTCTGTCCCGATTTCGCGAAATTAAGGGTGGTTCGAAAATTGATAGCGTAGCTCCGAAGCATGTACGACGCGCACATGTTATGTGTGTACGTGCAAGTTTTACGAGCTGCCGTCACATGCTCGCGAAATTACCGTGAAGCTTCAAATCCTATCATCAGATTATTACGATATATTTAGAGCCTTATAATCATCTTATCCGTGGCTATAACCCGTCGAATTATATTAGCTTCGTCAACGCTCTTTCGTTTTATCATTAAAAAATAAACTTCAATTTTTTAAATAACCGTATTACGTATCGAGAACGTTCAAGAGGAAGAATTACGAGAATTTTTATATTTTATCTTACACATCAACACATGAAATTTTCTGTGTGAAGATTTTTAAAAATATTAAAAGATAATACATATTGTATTATTAAACATTGATTATAAAAAGAACATTTGCGAAAACACATGAAAGAATCGAATTTATAATTATACATAAATGATGAATCTATTAAAACTTCAACGTTTCCGTAAATTTTGTAGAATTTATTTAAATTTTCCGAATGCTAAAACAAAATTCTTCTTCTCTCTTTCAAGACAATGGATTGTAAGCCTTAATACCACGACGTCGATATATCTGTTTCAGAACCAAGATGGTTACAGTGCTCGCAGTGTTCTCGACGGCTGTGCTCAGCATGGGAGCTCCTTCAGCATGTACAGAGCATGCACGGTGCCCGCCTCTACTGCTCCTCCTCCTCGTCGACGAACTCGTCGTCGAACACTCCGGCGCCTAGTCCACCGACGCCTACGCCGACGCACGCGCATCATTTAAGTCCGCCAAATCATCTAAACTTAAGCGGCAAGTCCACTGGAAGTTCCTCGGCAGCGAACTCTTCCGGCGGTACGAATACAAGTGGCAGTAGTGGTGGCCGACAGCAGCTTCAGACCTCGTCCTTAGTGGGCGATCCTCTTCATAGTTTTTTGAGGCTACCCCAACACTTGGAACGAAGTTTTCCGCCTATGTTCAGGCCCGACTTCCTCACCTTGAATCCCCTAGCGGGATACAGAGGTCTTCAGGAATTGCAGACCGCCACGCGGAATCTGCAAAACCTGGGCGATCCGCTTCGCGGTATGGATGGTTTAAATCTGGGGGATCCACTGGTACGTAGCTCATTGGATTCCCTAAATAATGCCCGGAACCTGGCAAACCTGGCTGAACTCTCGCACGGCCGTGGCCTCGGAGGCCAAGCACACCCACCACCACTTGAAGCGAACCTGGATTTTTACTCAGCGCGCCTAAGGAGCCTCGCTAATCCGTCCTTAGGCGCGGCTCCACCTACACCTAGCGGTAATCCCACGACGAATCCCCCTCCTCCACCGGTACCACCAGTATCGTCAGTTCCTGTCGCCAGCAGTGTTCAACAACAGCAGCAACAACAGCAACAACAGTCGCAGCAGCAACAATCTCAGCCCCATTCACAGTCAGTGGAACCGCCTAGTCCAGCCTCAGCCAACCCCGCAAATTTAACCCACAGCAGTCACCAAAAAGAGAACTCGCCGCCTTGTTACAGTCAAAGCCCTGTGGGTCATCATAACAATAATAATTCAACCGACAGCGAGAAGACTAGCCCACCAGTAGCCTCTACGCCAATTATTACTGATTCTTCGTCGGAGACAGTGTACACATGCGAAATCTGTGACAAAAAGTTTCGCTTCCAATCAAACTTGATCGTTCATCGTCGCAGTCATCGAGACAAAGAAAGGCAATACCAGCAACAAGAAAGCACGCAAGATAGTCAGAGTACGCCAACGAGATGCGAAGTGTGCGAGATTGAAGTAGCAAGCTTCACCGAATTGAGGAAACACATGAGGAAGGAACATCAGGATCACTTGAACTCGGCCGCTAGTCCGCAAGGCAGTGTTGAAACGGTGCCTGACGATGGGTCCAGCTGCGATGAAAATATGGACCTGGACGAGATGGACGAGAACGAGCAGAAGAACGAGCGGGAGGATGCAGAGGAAAATACACCAGAGGATCTAAGCACTACACAAGGTCAGAACGGCGAGGAGAGCGTAGGTCGAGTGGAGAAACCGGCTAGCTTGGTGGGCGATCTCATGGAGAAATTTGGTCTGAGTAACATCGCTCAATACTCAGAAGCTTATCGACAAGCATTACAAGAAAATCATCGTAGCGGTTTCCTCAAAACTGAATCACCGTGCAACCTCACTAATACGCTCAACAATAACAAGGAGAAGGAAAGTGCTCTCTCGCCCACAAATTTTAATTCCTCAACAACGCCGAATATTTTTTCTGGCCAGGGATTTCCTAGGTCCTCAGGACCAGATTTCGGAGGTCTTTGGCTACCTAGTCCGCACTACCTGGAGAATAATGAATTTCGTAAAGCGAGCAAAGCAACGACGTCCAGTTTAGCACTCCAGGGCTTGCCAAGTCCGCTGCTGAAGAAGGAGCGTAGCGGCCGAAACGATACTTGCGAGTATTGCGGCAAAGTTTTCAAGAACTGCTCAAATCTAACGGTGCATAGGCGGTCACATACCGGCGAGAAGCCGTACAAGTGCGAGCTCTGTTCATACGCATGCGCCCAGAGCTCGAAACTGACCAGGCACATGAAGACTCATGGCCGACACGGCAAGGACACGTACAAATGTCGTTTCTGTGAAATGCCATTTTCGGTGCCGAGCACGTTGGAAAAACACATGAGGAAATGCGTAGTGGTAGTGCAACAGGGTCCCAAGTTGGACATTCCGTATCCAGTAATCAAGGACGAAGACTCTTCGCTTAGTAGCAAGGATACTTGATCCTGGAACGGAAGCCTACCGCCAATCCCGCCGCTGTGGCCGCATAGGCCGCCTTATCCGGTATACTGAAGATGAAGGATCTTCTTCTTCAGGGACCTCGAGAGAGGAAGAGATGAACAATTCTGTGGGTCCCGCAAGACTGGATTTTATCGAGACGGCGCGACCTCAGAAGGATCTCTTGACGCGAAATGTCCGAGGTCACCTCTCGGGATTAGGAGGGGTGGTAGGTCGATGATCTCGAGAATCTTTGACCGAACCTGGCCTGGAAATGGCTGGTCGAGTCAACAAGTTGTAAAAAAATTATCGAGAACTGAAAGATCTAGCGTAGCTGGAGTTTCGATTAAGTTCGAAGAAGAAAGAATCTTCACACGCGATCGCGAAGATTGGATGCAATCGTGAAGGCGATGTATAGGTGATGCGAAAAGGCAACAGATAAAAAAAAAGAAGGTACTCAACAAGAAACTCTACTCCGCATTTTAACTCACTAGAAAACGAACGAATGGTTACCAATTTGCGAGTCTCAGCACACACAGCTATTTAAATTACATATATCTCTATAAATATAGTTTATAAACTACGGAAAAAGACACTATAAATATAAAGCTCCATATATATATATATATATATATATACATACAGATAAAAAAGTGAATAAATATACAT